GAGAGCTGGAAAAGAGGCTGTCTTGGGTGCCCACGGTGCCAGGGATGCCAGGGGGATGGAGACAGGGAGCCACCCCCAGGGACAGGTCCAGCTGGAAAGCCCGGTCCCAACTCCTCTGGGCCCTGGCTCCACAGTTGACTCACAGGCGGCAGCCCCAAACCACTTCCCTCTAGGTGCCTCAGTTTCCCCATCTATAAAATGGGAGTGATGACTCCCGCCCTAGAGACTGTGGGGTGGGGCAGCCTGGCTAATTAAACCTAAGATGAAAGAGGCCAAGATGAGAGCAGCCCTGAGAGGGAAGTCAGCTTGGGGGTAACAAGGAGCCTGTCTGGTTTCCCTGTCTGAGGCCCAGAGGGTGCTGATAACTACATACCCCTAGCCCTCACCCCTCACAGGGAGGGAGGAGTGATTATTAAGCCTCTTTTACAGTTGAGGAGACAGGCTTCAAAGGGTCAGGAAATCCACCACTGACTTTGGCCCTCATTCAGCCTCAGACAGTCGCCAGCCTTTCTGAGCCTTGGCTCCTTTGGGGCCAGGGGCCTGGAGGGAGGGAACCCACGTGTGGTTCCCGATGTTGTGGTGGCCACATCCACATGTACTCCCAAGCTCACAGCAACCCTGGGCTACCTGGGGGTGGGTGCCATTCACAGATGAGGAAAGGAAGGCCCAGAGAAGTACAGTCACCAGCCCAAAGTCACAGAGCTCCTAAGAGGTGGAGCCTGGACCTCAGCAGACAGCCCCTCCATGCCCCTGACTCGGCCTCCTTCCACAACCAGCTGCCCTCAGCCCTCTTGGGTGTCCAGGTCCCGGGATGGGCCTTCTCCTTACCTGCTGGTGCAGATGTCCCTGCCCTGTTCCCCTGTGGCACAGGCCAGCCACAGAGTTAAGCTCGGCCCACCAGCACTGAGAGCACAAACGTTCCCTGAATGTGCAGTCTGCAGGCCTGCCCTGGAAAGTGGCCTCCCAGCCAAGAGGTGTGGGCCGCAGCCAGGTTCCCTGCTCAGAACTCCCTACTCGATGTTCACACCTCACTCCTTCTCTTCCTGCTGAGTTTCCATCCTCCCCAGAGGCGTAGCCCAGCTCTGGGGAAGACACTAGACCCGAGGCTTAGAAAGGGAAAGTCAGTTTTCCGAGGGGTCCTGAGCCTCAGTTTTCTCATCTGTAAAATGGGGACATGACCAACCCATCTTCCCAACGCTGGGTATACAGGGATGCTTTAAAAAGAACACATCAGGGGTGCCTGGGTGGCTCAGTCAGTTGAGCGTACAAGCGTCCGACTTCGGCTCAGGTCATGATCTCTCAGTCCGTGAGTTCGAGCCCCAGGTTGGACTCTGGGCTGGCAGCTCGGAACCTGGAGCCTGCTTCTGATTCTGTGTCTCCCTCTCTCTTTGCCCCTCCCCTGCTCATGCTCTGTCTCTCTCACTCTCAAAAATGAATAAATGTTAAAAAAAAAAAAAAAGAACACATCAATAGGCAAATCCATAGAGAGAAAGCAGAGTAATAGATGCCAAGGGCTAGTGGAAGGGAGGAAGGGGAAGGACTGCTAATGTGTACGGGGTTTCTTTTGGGGTGATGAGAATGTTCTGGAAGACTGGTGATGGCTGCACAACTCTGTGAAGACACCAAACCCCCTGAATTATATACTTTAAAAGGGTGAACTTATGGTATATGAATTATATCTTAAAACCATTAAAATTTTTTTTTAACGTTTACTTATTATTGAGAGACAGAGACAGAGCATGAACGTAGGAGGGGCACACTGCAGAGAGAGGGGGAGACACAGGATCCGAAGCAGGCTCCAGGCTCCGAGCTGTCAGCCCAGAGCCCGACACGAGGCTCGAACCCACGAACTGCAAGATTATGACCTGAGCTGAAGTCGGATGCTTAACTGACTGAGCCACCCAGGCACCCCTAAATTATATCTAAATAAAGCTAGCAAAATAGTGTTAAAAGAAAGAGGTCCCTCGTGTACGGAACTTACATTGTGGGGGCCAGGCGGGGGAGGGCCACGGACAAACCTGACAAACCAAAATTTCACGGATTAAAAGATGCCTCCAGGGAAACAGAACAGGGTAATGGACCAGAGATGACTGGGGCACAAGGATTTAGCTAGCGTGGCCAGAGAGGCCTCTCAGAAGCGGGGACGCTTGGCCGAAACCTGAATGACAAGAGGTAACCAGTCATCGGGTGGGGAAAAGGCTTCCGGGTGGAAGGCGCAGCGGAGGAGAGGCCTCAGCGGGACCAGGCCTCAGCAGGCTGGGTGGGTGGCGGGCCACGCGGGCACACAGAGCCCACGGGAAGGGAGACGCGTGTGTCAGGAGGTCAGCACGCGATCAAGGTGCACCGGCCTCCAAGACATTCTTCCAGCTGCCACGGGAGCCACGGGAGGGCTTGAGCTGAGGGGAGACAGCTAGCTGGGGGCGGGAGCTGTCCCGTGGCCAGGTGAAATGTGACAGGGCTTTGGACCAGGGTGGTAGCTGTGGAGACGGAGGTGTGGGCAGATGCGGGACGATCTGGGAGCGGAGGGGATTTGCCGGTGGGTGGATGTGTAGGGTGAGGAAAGGCGGGGGGCAGATGACTCTGGGCTTGGGTGCTGAGGACTTGGGAGCTGACAGTTCCAGTCTTCACGACGGGAAGTAAGGATGGAGTGAAGCCTGGTGGCCACAGTGGTGAGCCTCACCTGGCTGCCTGGTCTCCTCCAGCAGGAAGCTTTGGCTTCTCCCTGCACTGCTCCAGAGGTTCCAGATGGCCCAGGAAGCCTCCTCCTCTGCCTACTGTCCCCCCGCCAGCCCCACCTGCTGAGCCTTTTGCCCACGATGACCGTGGGAGGGCTGCAGGCCCACGGGCAGGACCTCAGCAGACACGGAGGAGTTGGTGTCCTCACAGCACTTACACTTTGTCAAGGGCTTTGCGGCCTCCCGGAGGCCATTGCTAGATGGGACCGGAAAGGCCACCTTTTGAGCAGAGGCCTTGGTGGCCAGGGCCCCATCGGCCTGCTCTAAGGCTGGGTCCATTCTTAGAGGCTGCTCAAAAACAAATCAACAGTGTCTCTTGACCGCTAGGAGGAACAGACCTGGAACCAGGAGCCCCACTTTACAGATGTGGAAACTGAGGCACTGCCAGGTTAGGCGGCTTGGCTTGCGTCCCCAGAGGCTAAAAGTCTGGGGCAGCCCAACTCCCGGCCCTTTCCTGCTTCTCCTCCCAGCACATCTCATCTCCCAGAAACCCTCTGCCTTCAGCCTCTGTGCTTCCCAGCCCTGCCCCCTCCCTGCACCCCGTCCCGGCTCCCCTGCTAAGCTTTCTCTGAGAACAGGAAGGGGCTCTTCCAAACCTTCTCCATCCAACTCTGCCTCGGCCCTCCCTGGGCTTCTCAGGGCACCAAAGGCGGGAGCCGGCCACTACTTTTTGGGGAGCATGGTCCTTGCTTGCTTACTGGGGCTCTGGCTTCCTTTACACCCCTGTCCACCACCCCAACAAGAGATGTCCACTCAGAATGCTTAGAATCAGAGTTCACGGCTCCATTAGCAGATGGCCCAGGCCACCTCCTGCTTGGACAACTGCAGTAGCCTCCTTACTGGTCTCCCTACGGCCACCCTCATCACCCTCCCCCGGACACACATACTCTGTTCCCCTTAGCCGACCCCAAGGCTTTCCCACCACTCTGAGCCTCACATGACACGGCTCACCTGCCTCTTCAACCTCGGCTCTGACACCCTCCCATCCCCTTGACAATATCGCTGCCTGGTCTTTCTGTGCATCTCACGCACACTAGGCGCACTCCCGCTCTGGGGTCTTTGCACCAGCCGTCAGGCTCTTCCCTGCTCTGCACAGCTCCTGGGTAGATCTCAGCACCCCCGGCCCGTCACTATCCCATCACCGAAGCCATGCACCGCGCTAAAAGTTTCCTTAGTATTCTGTCTGCCTCACGTCATAGAATCACCAGTGCCTTGGGGCGCCTGGGTGGTGCAGTCGGTTAAGCGTCCGACTTCAGCCAGGTCACGATCTCGCGGTCCGTGAGTTCGAGCCCCGCGTCAGGCTCTGGGCTGATGGCCCGGAGCCTGGAGCCTGTTTCCGATGCTGTGTCTCCCTCTCTCTCTGCCCCTCCCCCGTTCATGCTCTGTCTCTCTCTGTCCCAAAAATAAATAAACGTTGAAAAAAAAATTAAAAAAAAAAAAAAAGAATCACCAGTGCCCAGCCAATGGTGGGTGTTCGAGAAGTATCTGTTGACTGGCTTAAGGACTGAACGAATCATATCTAACGGATGCCGTGTGACCAGAGCAGAAGGTGCCTGCCCTCATGGAGCTCGCAGGTTAGCCTGGTGTTCGTCCAACTTCACACACGCCGTCTGGTTCCAGGGCTGCTCGCAAACCACAGGCCACACGCCAGCAGTCTATGGCTCCCATCTGCCCTACAGAGGTATTGTGTTTGACTTGTTCCATGGTTTTAAAAAAATTGAGCCAGCTTTTAAATTTTTTTTTTCAACATTTTTAAATTTATTTTTGGGACAGAGAGAGACAGAGCATGAACGGGGGAGGGGCAGAGAGAGAGGGAGACACAGAATCGGAAACAGGCTCCAGGCTCCGAGCCATCAGCCCAGAGCCTGACGCGGGGCTCGAACTCACGAACCGCGAGATCATGACCTGGCTGAAGTCGGACGCTTAACCGACTGCGCCACCCAGGCGCCCCGAGCCAGCTTTTAAACATTGGTATATTTCACGTACAAATCTGGATATTTTGGGGGGGGGGCTTCTTTTCCCAAAATGGACAGATGTGGCCACACCGGGTTTCTCTGCTCAAATGACATGATTGCTACTACACCCTTCCGACAGGCACATTCTCCATGGTCCCCACCACCCTCTCTCTCTCCCTGACAGCCTTTTATCACTGAACCTGCCCCATCGCTTTCCTTATGATAAATTTGCACTGTATCCGTGCCTCTACCAAGAGTTGGAACGCGAAAGGCTGAATGGGTCCCATGAGTCAAGAAAACCAGATATTCGTTCATTCAACAAATATTTATTGATAATCCACTATGTGCCAGCAACAGTTGTAGATAGGGCAGCGGAAACCATGGACGAATATCCCTCCCTCCTGGGGCCTCATTCCAAACACTGTGTAACATTCTTTTCACAAGTGGAGACATTTGAGTTGTTCCTCACTGCCCACCCCCCCCCCTTCCACGAGAAAGACTATGCTTCTCGTGTCCAGGGTCATCGGTGAAGACTTCGTCATAGTTTCCACGAAGCACCTACTGGGTGACGAGCCCCTGTAAGGGTCTGGCACCAACCGAAATGCTCAGTAAGTGTTTGTTGAATTCATTAGCTGAATTTACCTCCTAGGCAGGGTTGGTCAATGATGTTTCTCCAGGATTTATTCAAACGCTTAAGTCCGCGGCCGGCACTCAAGTCATGTCACTTGAACCCAAGGGTGCAGGTAAGAGGGGAGGACTATTAAAGTACGTTTGGGCTGCAAGAAGGCAGAGCCCTGGGAGAGGAGGGCGAAGGCGCTAAGAGTACCGCCTGCCAGAGGCCAGTGACCCCAGGAGGCAGGTGACAGGATTCTCAGGTGATAGACATTAGGAAACAGGCGGGGAGAGGAAAGCCCCTTGGCCAAGCTCACAGGCCCCACGAGGGAGGGAGGGAGGGAGGGGGCCTATCTGCTCCTGAAGTCCACACTCTCCCCACTCACCTAGGGGGTGCTCCCAGAAAGTCCTGGGAGTGGGGGCGGGGCAATGTACAGGGCCTGCCCGGAAGTCGGACATCAGCGGTCTGCTCCTCTTGGACTTCTGGCTTTTGAATAGAGTGAATTCATTTATCAGACTCATTTCCTCTTAACCTGTTCCAGCAAACATTTAATACGTGAGAAAGGTGTATGTGTGGTAGAGATTCTGAAATGTTTATTTTACAGGGGGGTAGGAGGAGAGCTAAAAAGAGGAAGGGGTCCCATTCCTGACCTTAGTGATAAGAGAAGCCCAGCCATGGCCCGGGGCCAAAGCGCCACAGTAACACCGAAGGCGACAAGCCAACAAGGGCTCTGAGGGTGGGCCTCCCTCCAGCTAAGCCTGGGGACTGGGCAGAGCATGATGAATGGTTGGGGGGGCGGGGGGAGGGGGAGGGTGTGTGTCCCAGGCTGAACCTCGGCCCAGGGTGGGCTATGGGGGGGAAGCAGACAGGAGCTCCCTGCCTGCAGTGGCTGCAACCAGGCAAAGCAGATTGGGTCTGATTCCAGAGGGCCTGGGCCTCGGCCTGGCTGCACTGAAATCTGGCCAGTTGGGACCAGGATGAGGGTGTCTGCTGGTGTGTAAGCCCCAGTGACTAAGGTGCTGGGGTCCTTCGGGATCTCGGTGGACTCAGACCCGTTCAAACGCCCTTTCCTCCACGAAGCCTTCCGCACTTCCCTGGCCAGAAAGCGGGCTCTGGGCAGTGATGAGCCGATCTGCTCTCTCCGAGGGCACTCTCCGCTTTGCACCGCGGCCGCGTCCTCCCCACGGTACTCAGGCCTCGCGTGCCTTCCCGCACGGAGCCGGAGCCCGGCGAATACCTCTAGGCTGAAGCACGAATTGCTCAGCCAGGCCTTAGGGAACCGGGCCGCCTGGGCCCAGGCCCGGTTCAACAAGTGTGGGCGGGGCCGCGCGTTCCCGCCCCGACGGCTTCGCGCCTCCCCAGGCGCCGGGACGCGCCGGGCCGGGCCCGGGCCCCGTTGGGCGAGTTCCATTTCATCACCCGCGGAGCGTGCGAGCGCCGGTGCAAATAACGTTGCCCCCTCCCCTCCTCTGCTCCCTCCGAAACTCCGAAGCTTCCGTCTGCGAACGCCAGCATTCCCGGCTGGGAGGTCCCTGGAGGGCGGCGGCGCGGCCGGCGGGGCAGCCGGGCGCTGGGTGCCCTGCGCCGCCCCCCCCCC